CCCCAAAACCCCAAAACCCCAAAACCCCAAAACCCCTAAAGCTAATTAATAAAATCTATTTCTAAAATGGAGGAGGTTGCAAGCATGCCACCATCTGGACTCTCACAGAGGTATCTTAAGAGAAAGAAGGCCAATTTTGTGTTTAAGACAAATAATTATTCAGGGAAGAAGCGTAGAGCAGATGAGAATGCTGAGAATCCTACTGAACCTACTAAGTAAGTCCCTGCTGAAAATTTTTAACTAAAATCTTAGTTCCTTAAGAAATATCCGAAATTTTGACACAAAGTTGATTCTTACCATATCTTTAGAAAGCAGATGACTGAGGAAGAGAATAAGGTAAAATTAGACTCTAAACATAGGCTGATGAACCAATGCAAAGAGATGACTTAATAACAATGAAGGATATCTACACTAGCTCAGCTGAGTTCTTTGATTCCTTAATGAAAGAAGACCTGCACCAAAGAGTCCTTAAGGGCTCTAGATGCCAATATGGTAATTTTGATAGATATTACATACCAAATGACAAAGGGACGAATGGCGTGAGGAATAAAATTGATATTTTACCTCAAGAATGGTTTGAACACAAGAAAATACTTGATATCGGCTGTAATGATGGCACTTTTACATTAGCCCTGACTCTTGATTTCAACCCAGATTTAGTAATTGGAGTAGATATTGATGACAAGTTTATATCAAGAGCTATTAAGAATGTTCATAAAGTCACAAATGATCTATTGGGAAGCTATTTTGGAAGAGGAAGCAATGAATATAATGGGAAAGAGAAGGAGAGCATAGAAAAGGAGGAAGAAAAGGAGGAAGAAAAGGAGGAAGAAAAGGAAGAAGAAAAGGAAGAAGTGAAAGAGACGAAAGCTGTGATAGGTCCTGCTATTGGACCATCTATGAAACCCTCAATTGGTCCAGAAATCAAGCCTTCCACTAATTCTGAAGCCACCCCTTCAATTGGGCCAGAGCTAAAACCATCAATAGGCCCACAAACCAACCCATCAATTGGTCCAGAGATTAAGCCAACTATTGGCCCCCAAATAGGCCCATCTGTAAATCCCAAAATTGGCCCTCCTATCGGTCCCTCAATCGGCCCCTCTCTACGACCAAGCTCAGATCCATCCCCTCAACAAGAGCCTGAGAAGCTGCCAGAGACTGCTAAAATCTCAGAAAATTCCCCAAACGAAATTCAAGAACCCACAATGAAAAACTTAACCACTCAGGACTGTATCATGCAGAACATAGAGACACTGCCTAAATCTCTAAGAATATCTCTCTCACTTCCAAGTGTGCTGAAGGCAATCACCACTAAGGAGGCATTCACAAATAAGGTGTCAAAAGAAGCAAAGAATTTCCTGTACGAAAGGCTTTGCTTCAGGAGTGAAAATTTCATTGCAAATTTAGAGCCAACATTTGAAAAATTTGATGTGATTTTATGCCTTAAAACAGCAAAGTGGATCCATCTTAACTTTGGAGATGCTGGAATAAAGGCCCTGTTTCATAAGGTCTATGAGAGCCTATCCCCAGGAGGACTCTTTATTTATGACTCTTCGAATTGGAAGGGGTATAAGAAGAGAAAGACAATGGGAGAAACACTCAAAGAAAATTTTGACCTCATCCAGTTCAAGCCAGCAGAATTTGATAATTACTTGAAGCAGAAGGTTGGTTTTGAGTTTAAGACCGCTTTGAAATTTCCAGAAGAAGATCACCAGAGACCTCTTCTTGTGTACTCTAAGCCTGAGTAAATTCAATAAACACTTTCTTGCTAGGGGTTTTGGGGTTTTGGGGTTTTGGGGTTTTGGGGTTTTGGGGTTTTGGGG